TTAAGTGCACACAGAAAAAAAGCTGCTAGGCAGCTGTCCTAGTGATCACATGCCATTTGGTTCCTGATCCTTAGTGGGTGACAGCCCAGTCTGACAGCAAGGAGCACGTACCTCTGCACGCTACCAGCTGTCTATGTGGAATGTACATTAGTGTAGCCTCGGCATGGGGACTTGTGCCTGGGAATATTTACCTATACATTGCAGAAGCCTAGTGGTTAGTTATACAGATTTGTAGATTTGCCACTGTAGGAGTCTCTGTGCTTGCTCTGTATTTGGCTCAGCCTCATTTAATCTGCCTGCTTCAAATGTATGTTAAGGCAAAATAAAAGTTTACATACTTAGTACGTTTCTGGAATACATACACATTTCTCCATGTTTAATCGCTTTTAACAGACTGAAAATACATGAAAATTAGGGATGCACCGATATATCTGCCGAAAATTGCACTTTTGGCATAATACCGAAAGTGCCATTTTTCTGCCGATACATCGGTGCATCCCTGCTTTTTTTCCCCTCCCAGCTGGGCGTTGCTCTGTGTCCCAGCGGGGAGGAGAGAAACTGTGATAGCTGGCCAAGCGCTGCGGGACGAGAGCGCTGTGAGTGGCCGGTGTCTCCTCCCACACTGCTCAGCCTCCTATCACAGTCCGGCAGAGCGCTGTGTCTGGGCGGAGACAGGCCACTCTGTCACAGGGGGCTGAGCTCTCCTCCCTACACTGCTCGATCAGCCTCCTGTGACAACGAGAGGAGAGCGGTATAAACACTGATCGCTGAGTGTTTGTAGATAATTGAGGATATGGTATGTGTACTATATTCTCAATTATGAATGAATGGGAAGTGATCTACATCACCTCCTGTTCATTCATAGTTGTAGTTATAGTAAACATACCATGTCCTCATGTTATCAATGAACAGGAACACTCAGAGGATTCCTCTTCATTGATTTTAAAAAGGGAAATATCAGGGGTCTTAGACCCCTAATATTTCCCCGAAGCATCTAAAAGTAAAGTAAGAAATTAAAATATTTAATACAAAAAAATGAATAAAAATAAATATAACATTTTTTTAAAAAGTATATAAAAAATAAAATAAAATATTTGAAAAAATTAAAATAAAAAACATTTTATTATCGGTTTCGGCATGACAATTTTTTTTATTTCGGTTTTGTTTCGGGCTTTAAAATATCCATTTCGATGCACCTCTAATGAAAATAACAGTTGAAGCGCCAGAAATATAGCATGCTCCTACCTTCCTATTTCATATGAGAACACAGCTCTGAATTCCTAAGCATGTGGTATCAGCCCTGTCTACTTTATTTCTGATTACAACAAAAACCACAGACCTCACATCATCTCCTCCCCCTCCTATTGATGTAGCAAAATTAACAAGTATTTTTTGCACTTATATATAGCAAAATGCTTTTCAATGGTATATTTGGCAGTCCAATAAGGGAACCAAAAAGGGTCTACTACATACATGTTAACAACTGTTATGATAACATACAAGCCACAAAAGGGATTGAATTGTTTTGCAAGTAATAAGCAAACTATACATAAAACAGGTTGATAAAAGCATTAGGATTATATAACGGAGGCTGCTCTTTTTTTTTCTTTTCACATGCACATTTAAAAATACTACATTCAAAGCTATGCCATCGCGGAGCTTCCCAGCAATGGGCACACAGAGCTATAATAGGATTTCATTCACTGTACCTTTTCAGATCCTCCAATGACTGGGTCTGACAAGCTGTTTGCCACCACCTGCGAATAGACAAACAAGATTCATACCATGGAACCGGTTTCCTTTTAAGAACCAATGAGCATCTGGAATAATCTCCGTTCTTAAATTGTTATAATGGGGAAGCCTTATCACTCCGGGATTACACGTATTATCTTGAAAGGCTTCAAGAAAACTCCTTAGGGCTGGCCAAAAGAATTGCAAATGTGTTGTAAAAGCTCGCTGTGCACATTGCTCTTGCACATGCTGAAGCCTCTGGGTACATTGGCTTAAAGAGAGTTTGAAGTCAAACAGCTTGTGCTGTGTTCTCTCTAGTGATCCACATTGATCTGTAAATGTAGTGTCATGGGTGCACTGTGTCCTAAATGTTTATTTGTAGATGAGGGTATATGCGAAATGTACATAAACCTAAAAAGTAAAAATCTATCCATATTGATCTACAGTATCCAGCTATCTATCATAGAAAAAGACCAAGTGGTCCATTGAGTCCGCCCCTTTTTTTTTTTTTTTTACTTTTTTGTACAGATTTATGTTTGCCCAAGCATCTTTGAATTCACTTACTACTAACTGATTTACTACCTCTGCTGGAAGCATCAACCATCACTCTTTTGGTAGAAAAAAAAAAATACTTTCGAAGGTTAGTTTTCCTACTTGATATTAGCTGATAAGCTTGGCAGCAACGGGAGCAGGAAAGGAGATTAAGTTGTTCACAGGCCTTCTGCAAGCAGAACAAGATTCAACTGGCCAGTTCTTGATTCCACTTATGTAACAGCTTGCCTGATTAGTTTTGAGTGGAGCCAGCCTTCATTAAAACATTGCCAATATGTTACAGTACCTTGTTATAATCTATGAAGTTGAGCTCCGCTCTGACGGGGGCAGAAGAGGCCACAGCTGCGTACACCAGATGTGGGAACTACAACAAAACAAAACATTACACGGGTATTACCAAAGCAGAACTCCAGGTAAATATAGATATATAGTTTTAGCTTTACATATTGATTCAAGCATCATTCAGACTTTTAACTACTGCTCATATAACTACCAGAAATCGATCTTTACCTAATCCCCTGCACTCAAACATATCAGATTGAGAGTGCCGCCAAGGTGAGTCAATCACGTTCTCCTGCACTGCCCAATGCGTTCATGTTAATGGGCGCAAAGAAAAGACTAGAGACCAATGGGATGATGCTGCTTCATGATGCAGCGAGCAGGCTGGAAGAAGAGACGTGAAACAAAACTGTGGAGATGCAACCTCCTGGCTATATTATGTGGCAGAGCTGTGTGAATTGTACTATACAGAATTACAAATATTTTGCTTGGTCAAACAGTTTTGTAAATAGGTTATCTCTGAAGGTACAGCAGTGACGCAAAGGAAATCCAAATGGGACATCTTTATCACAAATGTCCCTAAGATCCCATAGAGTGAATCTTCTGACATCTACTTTAAAACTGAAAATTCTATTTTGGATGAATTGACCCTCTAATAACACTCTCTGCAATTTAATCCCATTAAAGAAAAAGGGCCCATTCACACCAGCCGCTGCGCTACACCACATGGCTGCTGGTGTGGGTGTGCTCAGCACAGTGCCGATGCGCTTGATCACAACGTATTGGGTGTGAACGGGCCCTAAAACTAGCTTACACAAGACTGAGCCAGCAAGTCTACCTAAAACTTTAAATGAAACTTGTGAAGACATATTCTGGAGGCCATTGGTGACCTCCCTATCTAAAAAAATACTAGTTTCCTGGCTGTCATGCTAGTCCAGAGGCAGTACTCTGCATTATTGACCTAGAGCAAGCATCCAGATTAGCAGCTATAACTTCAGTCCTTCCACTGACCTTTTTGTACCAAAAATACGGAGCCAACATTGCCATTGTATGCAGAGCTAGAGCCTCACCTTCAGCCTAAACCAAGCAGACAAGGATCCGGGGTAGGAGCCTCCAAAACAGATCCAGGTGTTTTTCTGGGTCAGATTGAACTTCTGGGAGATGAGCAAGTGGAAGGAAGCCAAGTCTGCTAGTCTGAAAGAGCAAAAACAGTTACAAAATGACTGACTCCTAAAAATCATAGTAAAACAGATATCGATATTTGCGCTTTGTTATAAATCTCCATTACAGCCTCCAAGTGAGGGAAGTTTATCACTCTACTAGTGTTTAGGTTGGCAGTGCCATACTCACGCCTGCTGACTAGACAGAAATCTGATCCCTTCCAGGGTGAGGCCATCTTTGTTAATGCTGGCTCCATAATACCGATGTTCAAGGGACACCAGGAGTGCACGATGCTTCTGTGCTAGCTCAACATGCTCTCCTAGATAAAACACATGTCCTTGTCAGCATATTCTTTATATCTCCAAGTGGACAGAATCAGAGCCCAGTTCCAAGCTCAGGTGTGTTTGCTGTGGTAACATCACAGATCCTCTTTGCCCTCTCTTTCCACCAGCAGTGGGTGGATCCTAAATGCTGCAGAGAGCAGCACCACATAATGAACTTGCGCTGCTCTCTGCAGAATTCTTTAGTGAGTCCAGGGCAGGGGGCGGAGCCTTGACACCTTGGGCTCATAGAAGTGGGAATAAAAAGCACTGGGTGTCATTCAGCCCAGAAGAAGAAAAGGAACATTTTTCTGGATCAGTGAGTGACCTTAGCAGCTATTACAAAGGGAGGTAGAAGGCTGGTTCTGCCTAATCATGGTTGCCTCTAGTAATAAGTAATCTACAAAATCTCTACATTATATTGACCAAAAACTATGGAAGAGTAAACTTGTAGAAATGTGAAAATGTTATAAAATTTCATTAGTGCCCTCTATCCCTTTCACATCTGATGTAATAATTAAATCCTAAAGATTCAGATTCCTGCATAATCCTAATAATTAACAGGGTTATTCACAAAAGGGTGAAGAGTTTGGAGAAGGCAGGAGAAGTGAACAATCTAGGACAAAATAGCTGACTTGGAAAAATGATCCAACTCAGCTATGCTGTCCTAGATTGTTCACTTCTCCTGCCTTCTCCCAACTCTTCACCCTTTTGTGAATAACCCTGTAAGTGTTCTTTAAATAACTCTAGTTAGCCTCATTTACTATGCCATCTGTAAGATGAACTGGCTATTTTTCTTGTTAGCAACCCCATTCTGCCAAGGGAACACTTTCCTTATATCATAGGTGATAAATGATACTCACACTTGCTACACTGGCAAAATTACTAGGTGGATAGCTGTTATCCAAGTTTAGAGATTCAGTTTTGACTGGTGCTGCTGATTTTTAGTTTACAATTGGTAATCAATCAGTAAGCCTGACAGGCAGACGTAAGTATAGTTGAAACAGTTGTTGGGAATGCTCAAAGAAGACTATGATGTCCAAAATGGGAGAGAATGAGAACACATGACTCAGCTACTAAGAGTATGGCACTCCCTTATGCTAATCAGAAAGACTTTAAAAGGAGGCGCTTCTTCAGGAGCTGCAGAACAGCTGCAGAGGACAGCAGCTGTTCTCTGCAAAGGCTTCCCTCGCCCCCACCACAGCGTCGGGCCCCAAAATATTGTTCCTAGAGTCGCCACTGTTCACACTACAGATTCACAGACACACACACACACGCACAGCATCAGACAGACACACCCACACTCACATTGAATAGAAACAACTGTTAGGACTATTTTTACTTACTAACTAAAGACACGTTTCTTAAGCATCTTAGAGATTTCTGCTGTAAGATATACTATATTTTGTAATCATCAAGCATCTTTTAGACTCATTCTGTAAGATATACCATATCCTGTAATATTTTGTAACTTTAAATTAAACACATTCTGAACTTTATGCAACAACGGAAACAATCATCTATTATTGATCATATTTCATGTCATTTTCTTACAATAGCTTTGCACATTCTTCACAGCCGAGTACAAATTATGTGGATATTAGAAGATTGAGGGGATTGTCATGTCATGTTCTACCAACCTGCCAAGACAGAATATTCAGATTCGGCACTTTCTCCACCTATAAATAGGAACACAGGTCCACCTGGACGCTGCCAGAACTCTTCATTGACCCAGTACCGCTAAAAGAGGGGAAAAGGAGAAAGAGAAGGATAAAGAAACATGTCGGAACAATTAGCAGTTGACTCTAAGGACTCATACACACAGGCAGCACAAAGAAGGCAGCCATGCCCACAGCAGTTAAGGTGTATTGAGCCAAATGATACAGTACAGGTAAACATTATAGATTTATTCCGCATTGTGCCCTGCAGCATCTGTAGGCAAGGTTTGAAGGTGAACAGGAACTTGTGGGCCAAATCTGTGGGTGTACCAAAAGTTTTTCTAACTGAACCTGTCCTCACCAAGGATAAACTTAACTAGCACGATTACAGAACATGAAACACTGTCTGGGCCTTCACATACTGCAATTTGGCATCTACAGCACACCAGAATACCCTGGACACGTTCATTCAAATACTGAGATTCCACTAGAACAGGGATGGCCAAACTGCGGCCCTCCAGCTGTGGTGGAACTACGAATCCCATGAGGCTTTGCAAGATTCTCACAGCTACAGATATGACTCCCGGAGAGAGATGCTTCATGGGATTTGTAGTTTCACCACAGCTGTAAGGTTGGAGTTTGGCCATCCCTGCACTAGAAGGATGCTAGTGGTGCTATTCATTTTAAATGGCACTCCAAAGCACTTTGAAAAGAATGCAGAATGTCCAGTTTAAGTGCATTGCAGAGCTTTGGCAGCCTATTTAAAATGATTGGGCTGCATAATGTAAGAAATGTTAAACAAACGTGCATTGCCACTGGTGTGAACCGACATTTGCTTAGCGAAAAGTCAACATTTATGCACAACATGTCCTGAGCTCAAGACAAGTATGCGCAAACAACTAGTCCAGCTTTGATATTCCCAAATTTACTTTAAGCTATAATGAATCACTTTCACACTTGCAGATTTGATGTAGCTCTCAAGCCATTTTTTGTTCTTTAAATCTAAAGTTAAAGCTGAACTTCAGACCAAACAAATAAATATTGTCTAAATACAAGACAAGTAATTAAATTAAATATATACATAATAAAACAAGTCTTGTAATTTGTCTTTGTGTAGGAGTTTCCTGTAATACAGACCAGTCACTGCTGCTCTCTCTCTCCATGTGCAGAGCGACTGGTCTAGTACCCACCTCCCTCCCTCAACCTGTAGCTTTGAGCAGGCAGTCTCTAGTGGTGGGTAGACCTAATGGGATCCACCCACACCTCTGCACTTTGCATGCTATGTACAGCACAGTGTTGAGGTCACCACCATTTTACAAGCCAATTTATATTATTGAAGACTCAGCTATTGAAGAACATAATGAAATGATTTGCACCTGAAGTTCAGCTTTAAGTGAGGGTGAGCAGGCCTCAGGAGCTTCCACCAGCTTAAGACACTGAGGCACATCATCCCTAGTGAAAAAGTCATTTCCAGCACACTACCTGCCCATTGGTTTTGCTCCCTTGATGGGTCATGTGTGTCTAAAAGAACAATTAAAGTTCCAAGCAATTGCAATGCAGAAGCACCAAACTGATGACTGTGCCACTGTCATGTCCTTAAAGTCAAACACTCATAATATCAACAGCTGTACTTACTGACCTGATTGTAGGTGGCATTGTTTCTTCGGTTGAAATGGTCCAAAGGTTGTGTGATGTAGCCTTCATCTGCAGGCTTATAAGGCACACCTCTCGGCATGCCTAGGCGAGTGTAGAAAGATTTGAAGTACTGGACCTCACGTAGCTGGTGAATCCTCTTACGAATCTGTCTCTGGTTCCACGCTGGAGAAGAAGAGAGGACACGGGCCACTTAATGAAACAGGAGCTAAAAGTAACAATGTGGTCTGTGCCGGAAAATGGTTTTCAAAAGAACAATTCCAGGCAGCAAGTGAAAGAAATCGGTGAACTGCTAGTGCTATGCAGCAATTGCAAGAAAGTCCACTCGCTTTACCTACATCCCAGTTCTCTTTAATCCACAGGATCTAATCTATAGAGATCTCCACATGTTTAATGGGCGGTTGCTTCCAGAAGCAGATATTCTGTAACTTCCTGTCTTTCTGCATGCTCTACTACCAATCTGATTCAGACTTCCAAAGCAGCTTTGCATGTGATGGTTAGTACTAACATTATTATATGAGGAGTTGTATGTCAGAGACAGAAAAGAGTCAGCACTTATATTGTTTGGGAAATCTTCTCCTGGTTTACAAAAGGGGTAAGTAAAAGGGACTCCCAGATCAAAGACAAAAGGATTGGGTTAGATTGGGGCAACAGAACATTGCACGGGGAGGAAAAACTGAAGGACTAAGTGGGCGAGCTGATTAAAATGATCCTGACATGAAAGAAGTGGGGACTGCCATTTACCGGTTTCCTAAAAATTGTTAGCTGGCTGTATGCAACATGGGATAGCATGAGGTGGGGACAAAGTGTGTGTTGGAGGGGAGTGAAGCCATCATTAACAAACAAAAGTGCTTTTTTTGGTATATGGGCAAAATGAAATAAACAACAAAATAGATATATATATATATATATATATAGGAAGGACTTCTGACTAATGCAGTTTACATGGCAGGCCTATAAGTGAACGCAAGTGGTCATAAAACCAATGACATTTGCTGCTTGTGCACAACCCTGTAGAAAGGACAGTTTCAGCCCAATGAGTCTCATCCGCACCGGGCTGGCGGTTTGGATCAGCATGTGCAGTGCAGGCTTTTTATCTTGTTAGCGGAGCAGCAGATGTTTCACTTGTTTTCGGTATCCCAGAGAACAATGCATCAAGTCTGACTGTGCAGGTAATGTGCTCGCTGCTGTCTTCCTATCTCTCCTTATTTGTTATGACAAATATAACCATTATTGCTCCCTCGAGCTAAGCTTTTTTTTTCATCTCCAGGTTTCCGTCACTGAATATAATGGATATCATCAGATTTAGAGGAGAATAATAAACTGGCAGACCATCTACAAAATAGATTTGCTGAAATATCGAAAATAGAATGAAAACATTGCCTAAAGGAGTCAAATAAACAGTCATACAATGGAAGGTTAAAATACATTGAAGGGAATTGATCAAAACTGGAGCAGACAAACTCTGGAGCAGCTGTGCACTGCAACCAATCAGCTTCACTGTTCAGTTTGTTTGGTTAAGATTTGAAAATAAAAAAGGAGAAGCCGATTGGTTGCTATGCACAGCTGCTCTAGATTTTGTCTGCTCCAGCTTTGATGAATTCCTCCCATTATTTGGTAAAGCTCTTATTATTATTATTTTAATTTTTATTATCATTATTATTATAATAAGTAGTTTTTCTTTGTTTTTAGCATGAACAACAAATGGACAAAAACAACCACCCCAAACATCCCTGACTTGTAACCTATCCCAAATGGTTGACCTGACCCCAACAACTAACCCTAGCCGAACCATAATCCTAGTCAAATATTTTATATGTTGTTTTTCAATGCTGATTAAATCATTGCAATGGACGCTGCTCTTTGATGCTCACTATTTTTAGTTTCCTACAGAATCAGCTGATCCCTTAAGCACTGGCCCTGATATCCTGTTTTAGGGTGGCTCCTTTGCCTTGCAGGGTCCTATGGAGCCACACTTGTGTGTGCTAATAAGCTGTGTGTGTCTCCACAAACACACAGAGACAGCAAGGGAAGCCACTCCCCACTCCTCCTTAGTACCTTCTCCGAGCTAGTAGATCGGCAGCTCATTATTGATGAGTTTGAAAGCTTAATCCTACTTTAAGTAAACGCTAAAAATAACCTTTAAACATAAAGCTGAACTCCATGACATAAAAAAACAAACACACACGTGAATGTAGTTCTATATTTATTTTTAAAAATATAAATGTGTTTAAAATGCTTTAATTTAAATAGCGACAGGCTCCCTGTACAGCAGCACTCACATAGGGAGTGAGAGAGATACAGCTCTAGGAACCAATCATTTCACTTGCAGGATACAGGTTCTTACAGGGAACATGCTGACAGGAAAAGAGAGCAGCCAGAAACCCTCATCAGTCTTTTGCTAGCCCTTTGCTGTCCAATCACAGGCTGTACCCTCTATCAGCTATATAGGACTCTCAGGACTGGAAGGACATACAGTATATACAAATCCTTAAATAAGTGAAAGGACCACCAAATATGTAATTCAATGGTGTATTTAGCCATATGCCCGGAATTTAGTTTTAAATCAAATCCACGGCTAGAAAGAAAAGCGCAAAACAGGATCCACACAAAGAAGCAGACAACATATGGTCAGGGCCGTCTTTAGTATTGATTGGACCCTGGGCAAACATTTTCTGGGGCCCCTACCTGCCATGCCCCTGCCCACAGCCCTGTTCTGCCCCCACCATGCAATTTATCTCTCCACTCCCAAAACATCCCCAAAAAAGGGAGACTTGACCCCCACAAGAGACGTCACGTGGTCACGCTACGCTGTGTACGCCAGGAGTGGAGTAACACTATAGGATGCTGATCGCATAGTAAACAGAACAATGCCGCATGTGCAAGGGCAGACTGACAACACATGTACTGTACATCTCTCCTCCCAGCCCCCCCCCCCCCCCCCCCCAGACATGTGCATTCGGATGAACCTGCAAATCAACGAAATTCAGTTGATTCAGCGCTTTGTCCAAATCAATAATGAGTCTATTATGTGCCCCAAAATACAAAAACTATATTCAGGCACACATGAATCCATTTTACAGAATGCGCGTTCTACACATTCCCGCCGCTGTCTCGGAGGCAGAGCACATGATGTCACACGACGCTGTGAGCGTGCGGGGTTAGGTGATGCCATACGCTGAGGCTGGTTCACACCTGGGTGTTTTTCAGCGCTGATCGAAGTGCTAAAAAAACGCTCAAGAAGTGAAATCCTAACAAATATCAAAATCGGCGGTTTCAGAATTTGGCTGCAAAAGTGGAAACACACTTAAAATAATCTGATAACAGACTTGGAGTCAAGCGTCTGTGAAGCTTCTTGCAACTGATACAATTGTATCTCAAACAGAAGCCAAGGCAGAAGTTATGCAAGAAATTCTATAACGCATAACAAGTATTAAAAGGAGGAAGAGTCCAGTTCCACATAAGTCTTTCCTCTGACCTACAGTGTGTTCTATTATTACACAATTACAGCTTGTATATGTAAACCCAACAAAGGACTTCTCTTATTTCTTTCCTTTTGGTTTGTTAAATGCTAAGTTTACTTTTCTGACCATGTTTCATTATTATACTCATATTTAGGGTGCAACATGAAACATGGTCAGATCCCAACTCCCCCCGCCCCCCGTTTCCTGAATCATGGGGTTCTTCTCCCTGCAGGCTTGTTTACATGTTTGAATTTGGCACAGTTGTTCATGGCTCTGACCACACACCTTTAAGAGGACCTGTGAATGGAAAAACTACATGTGCCACCAGCCATCGCCGCAGAGGGACTTAAAGTCCACTAATTCTACCTCCTGGCCATGTTACTGAATGTATGTACCTCGGTACATATGTGGATGGGAGGAAGAATCTGCAGGAGCCAGAGCAGTACACCCATCGTCCACTGATCACTGTTGCAATGCTTTACTGGCTCCAAAGCAAAAAAATATTAAATACACTTTTTTTTTTTTTAATGGAAGATGCTTGCATTTATTGTAAGGCGGAATTTCCCTTTAAATAAACCATTGAAAGTACTTTGTAATATCTGTTAGATATGCAGAGAAAAAAAAATCCTATTGATCTGCCAGAAATCCAGAGAGCGCCTTACTTCCTGACAACTCTGCCTGTGCTCTACTGAAATCTCTAACACTGTTGCCAACCCTGTCCAGTTCTCCCCCGTGAACTACAGAAAGCCTCCTCCTCTTCTAGTCTGGATTTACACCTTTGTGTTTTTGCTTTTCCAATGAAATGACCCTAAAATTATCAGACATCATTCCTGAGGCTCCATTTACGCATAGCGTTTGCGCTACCTGCATGGTTTTCCTTACGGAAGCACGTGTGGGATACAAACATTATATGTGAAACAAATGCACGTATTCTGCTCGTTTGTGGCCATTATATAGCCGCGAAAGTGCGGAATCCGCCGGATTATCGCGCTTGCACTATTTTGGGTACCGCACGGTCTCCACAATTGTCTGAACAATGCACATTGAATTGCATTTTTTTCTCTGTTTGGAGCGGTTACGTGCGTATTTGTACAGCCGAATACGAGCAGACAGCCGCTCCAGTGGCAAGTGTAAATAGTCTTTAAAAAGGTTTTCATTCAGGAAACTCCATTCATTTCAAAATGAAATGTTAAAATCGAACGTAATTAGGGCAGGTTCACACCTGGGCGATCCGTTAACCGCGCAGCATTCGTGTACAAAACCGCGCCGATGGCCACACAGTCACAGAATGGCACACCACCGCTGATCGCACTGGCAGTGCCATTAATTTCTAATGACATCTCAGTCACGCCAGGCAGATTGAGTGGGATTCCGCCCGTGCAACGACACATGATTGCGGCTGGAAAAAAAATGTGTGGTGCATGTCGTGAAAAAAAGGACATGTGCCTTTTTTCAGTGACTGTCACGCGGATATAAACCCAATGAAAACAATGGGGCCGCGCAGCAATTGCACACGATCACATGTCCCGGGATCACTCAAGTCTGCACCAGCCCTTACGAATGACATTTGTCAGGTCTCTGACAGGGCACAGAATGTTCTGATGGGTGAACATTAGGGATGCACCGGTACCAGTATCTGTATCAAAGGCCGATACAGAGTACATTGGGCGAGTACTCGCACTCGCCTAAATGCTCCGATAGCTTCACTGATACCGGAATATTTCCTCTGACCGGCACTGCTGTAGGGGAACATGGAGTCAGCTTCCCAGGCAATCAGTGGGTAAAGGCACGCTGCCAGGCTTCCTGATTGCCCAGGAAGCCGGCTTCATGCTGATTGGTTTTCCGGCCAAATATGGAGCCAGCTTCCCAGGAAATCAGGAAACCAGGTGACATGCCATTACCCCCTGCCTAGCTTCCTGATTGCCGGGCAAGCCGGCTCCATGCCAGCGGAAACACAGGTATCAGTACTCAGTATCGGCGAGTACTGACAGCAAATTATCGTTACTCGTACTCGATACTGAAAAACCGGTATTGGTGCATCCCTGGTGAACGTTCATATGAAAATCTACAAGTGTATGGCCAGTTTAAGATTAAAAACCAGAAATGTCTACAGTGTATATACAAAACAGAAAGAAACACAACAAATAAAATAAAAAAAATAAACTTTATAAATAACTGAACTAAATAAACAATAAATGTTTTCACTTTTTTAACAGTCTTAGGCTCCATTCACATATAGTGTTTGCATTACCACGCGGGGGGAAAATGCTTAAATCTTTAACGTGCGCGAATTCTGCTAGATTGAGGTTATTACTATAGCCGCAAACGTGAGGAATCTGCCAAAATATCATGTTTGAACTATTTTATGGGTTGTGCGGTACGAAGCTGCTGCAGAAGTCTAAACAGTGCACATTAAAGTGCATTTCTTTTTTATGTTTAAAGCGGTTCCGTGCGTATTCGTATGGCAGTATATGCGTAAATGGAGCCTAAAAGGCAAGCATTGAATGAGGAGTTAGGTTATGCATTGAATGAGGAATTCTGTTACTCTTAGCAACACAGTTGAGTACTCTCCATGATACTTAATTTGCACCAACAGTTACATTTTAAGGACTAGTTTTGGCGGTTTACCCTCTTCGTCTGAAGTCTATGCAGTACTGAAGGAGGTATACACCAGAAGCTTGTACTGAAAATGAAACTACTAGCGCAAATAAAAAAGATATCACTGAGAATACTCAACTGTGTCACTGAAATTGTTTTCTAACACGACTAAAATGTTACTTCAGGAATCAAAGTCAGTGGACCTAAAAACAGTTGTAACTTTACATTTATTTTATTTTCCTTACCCCCATCAGATCCCCTCAGGAAAGGCAACACAAGCACGAGATACAGCAACAGTCTGGCCATTTCACAGACGAAAGAAAAGACAGAAAGTGCTCAACTAACTTCCTACTCACAAGAGCATTGTGATCACATGAGAAGGGGGAAGTCACATGATACTGCTACTTCTGATTGGCTGCACAACTTGCAAAGTCAGCTTGTGTGTTTTTGCAGGGGAAGCAGATGGCATGTGACTGCAGCTCTGAGTGACACATTAAACTGGCCATACATCAGCGTTTTTTATCGTTCAGCTCGATTACCCCATCCGTGCTAACAGCGTGGAATAGGGAATCTCCCCACCCCTTTCGATTGGTCTACCAACTGGCTGCCGTTACTGTTCAGCTGAGAATTTTTAGACTGGCGCCTTCGACAAAAGTCGACTGAAAAATCGATTAATTTAAACGAGGAGGTCCCAACGGGGCTCCAGAATGCTTGCATTTCTACCAGTGTATGGCCAGCTTACAGTGACAATAAACTCAGGAGTTAAATCGTAAAAATGCATTCAAGAACCTTAAAGTATAATTAAACCTTCTGGGGGGTTTTCCTGCATATATCTACTGCTAGCGAACAGTAGATATATACGCAAAAACATTAAGTATATTTCGAGTGTGATTAGGTGTTTATCAGGAACTTGCGTTTTCCTGCAGCAGTAATCCCTAATCTGCCGTTTACAAGCGGCAACTATCATAAGATAAGAATTATCATAAGATTATTTAAGAGGGTGTGTTTAGGGGCAGGGTGGGGGTTAGGTGGGCAACTGGTGGCTAGTAACGCTTAAGGCCTGGCTAGTAGCTCAGGACTTAAAATTTTGAGCCCTGATTTAAAGTACGTCCCGAAAGCAGCATTTGGGTGGGGGAAAACATTTTTTTTACTTTAATTACCTTTAAGAAAAATTACCTATTAAGAAAAATTTATCACTCAGCTGTAGATCTTCAAAATCTCTGACGAATTTGCTTTACAAGTCCATGCACATCCCTATTCATTTGTTGCATGCTTGTCTTGGTTTAGTAACTCAGAACATACTGAAGTCAAAGACTGCCAAGCAACTACCATTCTTAAAGTGACACTAAACTCAGGAGTGAAATCTTACAAATGCATTCAAGTACCTTAACTATTAAAGGAGAACTATGGGGTCAGGGCTTTTCCCCATAGTTCTCCTTAGGGTAACGGGAGGACACAAACTAGCGTCCTCCAGTTACCCTAAACTCAGTATACCGCGAGCTACAGCTCGCGGTATACTAAGACGCCGCAGCCGGAGCGGATCCCGACATCTATGTCGAGATCCGCCCAGCTGCGTGAGTGACAGCTGGCTCTGCCTATCTAGTTTTATGTATGGCTAAATTATCCCAAACATCTAGGAATGTTTTTTCCCCTGTAGTGCAATGACAAGGCCCAGCATTTTCTGCTGTGTGTTTAAAATATGTAGGCTGTAGTTGCCCCATACTTACCGTAGTAGTCTGATATACATACACATAATGGTTACTTTTCTGCAGTGGCGTCACCCAGCCTCGGACTCCACTGCTTTTCTGTAGTTTTATGAGCAGTGATCTACCAATCAGAGCAATGTTCCTATAGCAATTTTAATATATACTGTATATTTGGACTTCTGTTATAAACAATAGAGCAAACTTCAAGGTGGCATTAGCCAATGTGATCAAACAGATCCTATCTTTCTGATTTTTCCTAAACAGCGGTTTGCATTGAAGGCCAAGCGATATACTATACCAACCGCAGAGTACGAACTCTGCATGGGAATCAATAGAGAGTGTGCTGTGCATGTGCAGGCCTACTGGTTCAGTTCCAAGAAAGCTACTTTAACATTTTTGAAAGCATTGAGGTAAACCTTCTTTGAGAGAAATACAAGGGCTGCCACTTATTACCTCCTTTAGAAAATGCTAGGTGCCTGGTTGTTATGCCGACATTCAACAGACTGAGGTAATAACAGTTCCCAGAAGATGTATGGAGATCAGTAAAGTTGGAGAAAAGTCAGCAGTCCTTATCTGCATACGTTTTGGGTCAGAAAATATTGAAGAACCAAGGTCATCCTGACAGCCAGACAGCTAGAATGTTCTAAGAGCAGAGGTCAGTATTGGCAGGCTCTGTGTTTTCACACAATAGGTTTCCTTTAACTCACTCTTTGATTTTCTTGTTTGTGCCCAGTAAGGCTAGTGGGCCTCGTCAGAGCCAGATCATCCACAAGGCAACTTAAAGGTGCCCATACAGGTGCCAGCGGCACCTGTCAGACTACAATGCAAACAGTGGCGATTCCTCAATCGTCACGCTGTTTGTGTTGATGGGGGAATCGCGGGTTGAATGAAAGAAATTGACAGGTGTATGGCCAGCTTTAAGCCGTAGGGATAAGCTACGGGTTTAGGTCAACTATGGGATCAAGCTGAACCCAATCTGTTTGCAGTTCTTTGAGCAGGTGAACGATTATAGATTTTTCATTACTTCGTTATTCGAGACCAAAAGTCAATTAGTTTCGGGATTTGGACGAAATCCGAATTTTCCTTGGCAGTAGTATGTAAGAATATTCGTTATGAACGACCTTTCGTTGCGGCAAAGTGACATTAGACAAAATTAAAAAAAAAAGACTTTTGTTTTTACAGTCTGCAGAAGAAATAAAAAAAAGTGCAAGGTGTCCCAATTGATACCAGACCCTTTAGGTCTGGTAGGAATGTTTAGAGGGATCGCCCGAAGTTAAAAAATAATGTTGATGCTTTACACAATAAAACTTCATTCGGGAAAGAAATTCGAATACATCCAAAATTCGGAAGCATCGGAATGCACGAATTTCCCAAAAACAAATCTTTACAAAACAAATGGCACGTCTAATTTTTATTTGGTCTGATTTTTGGATTGATATATACTGTATATGAACTTATATAATGACAAATATAATAATTTGAACAAACCACAAAATTAAACACTTTGAGGGGAATTTATCAAAACTGGAGCAGTGAAAATCTAGAGCAGCTGTGCATGGCAATCAGTCAGGTTCTCTCTTTCATTTTAAAACCTAAACTAAAGACAGAAGCTGATTGGTTACTGTGGGCAACTGCTCCAGAAAAAAAAGGAATCACTTCCACAAACCCAGTATATTTAGGATAGTGCGACACACATACTTGCAGGTAACTGTGACTTGGCCAGTTTGCTTGCCCACCAAACTTACATCTGTGTCCTAGCAAGCAATCACACTGTGTGGCTTGCACAGCACCATTGGTTGCTAAGATGCAGGAGGGTGCACCGAACCAACCAGGGCCGGTGCTAGGATTCTTGCCTACAGAGGCAAGGTGCATTTTTGCGCCCCCCCCGAACCCCCATAAGTGCAAGCATCGGGGCATTTTGGCAAGTACAAGTACTTGTCAAAATGCCGTTTTTTCCGCCCCCACCCTGCAGCACCCTAAGGCGGCTGCTTGCCTTGCGGTAGCGCCGGGCCTGGAACCAACCAATGATGCTGTTGGGCCGCTAGCATCTTGGTATCCTTGGTTGCTGAGACACAGGTGGGTTCCCCATAACAACCGATAATACAGTAGACTAGTAAGCAATGATGATGTGTAGCCCAGCCTGTAGTGTCCTAGCAACAAAGGACACATTGCAGGTTGCACAGTGTCATTGATTGCTGAGACACAGCCGGCCCTGAGTTCAGTTCACGTGGATGTTTTCTGAACCCAGATTTCTGGCTGAATCTCCAAGCAAACTAAACCCAGGCATGTTTGGCTCATCGCTACTAGGCAGGATTTTAGGGTCTGGTAAAATCTAGAGCGCTCAGCTACAACCTTCATACCTCTACAGTAAACATGGGGGATAGAGCTATGTATCAACCTGTTGATTCACAAGGGAGGATACACTTGTAGGCAGTTGGTGTCTGATAAGGCCATGCCAGCTTGTGCATCTTTTCTGTGCCTATCGCAATCCTCATCAATGCCAATCAAAGGTGTGGTGGGCCAAAGCTTCTACTTTGCCTAGGGTCCCATTTTGCCTAAAGCTATGTGAAGATATATCTAAGAGCCAAGTGCAAAGTACTGTTTACTTTATCACTTGAGTTTAGAAAGATTAGCTAAATGACAACACTTATACGAATGTGGCCGGTTTTGTCTCATGATTACTTTAGTAAAGAGGAATGCTAGAATGTGCTGTTGGAGGCAGTGTCTTGTCTGCTTTATATTTACCTGTGTGCTTATAGAACTATCTCCTCCCAACTTCCCCTGCACACATTTCCCTCTATTTGTTCATGTGCTGGAACTCCAGAACAGAGAGACTACATTAAAATATATATATATATATCAAAAAATAATCACACTTTGGGGTGTATTTTTAAACGATTTGCAGAGCCACGCATCCTGCAAAAATCTGAATATTGCTCTGTGTGAATGGAGGGAAAACTGTTTTTGAAGATGTTATATTAGGAAATTACCACGTCGTGGCCACTAGGTGGAGCCGAGCAGTATTCATTTCCTACGTTCCTCAGCTCCATCTGGAGCAGTTTTTCTCCAATATTACATTCAACTTTAAAAAGAAAATATAATAAGTAAGGATGCACCAAAACCAATACCGGGTGTTTTCACGAGTACTCGGGAAAATCTCCCCATACAGACACTTTAAATGTTTAAATAGAAGCGGTGCTTGAGGTCCCGTGCTTGCTAGGGACCTTGGCAGCCTTGCTGTTTACAGCGCCAACTGCACATCTTTCTACTCCTTCGTGGATAACCATGCCCACCGCCCACAGGACCCCTCGTAAGACCCCACATAGTCCAACATAGCCCTCCATAGACCCTGTGATCCCCACACAGCCCTCCCGAGATCTTAGGCTGGAGACATCAGGCCGGCACCCCGGAGCAGCACAGAGTATGTATGTAATCATATTATTCTGCATTGCTGGTATTTGTACTCCTCTATGCCATTTGGCATTGCTGTATAATGTATCACTGAGATTTTTGGTCCTCTCTAGCTGATGGTATTATTCTGCATTGCTGTATAATGTATCACTGGGAATTGTAGTCCTCTATAGCTGGTGGTATTCTGCATTGCTGTATTATTATTATTGGTATTTATATAGCACCGATAATTTATGCAGCGGTTTACATAGCTGCACATTCACGTCACCCCCTGCCCTCCAGGAGCTTACAATCTAAGGTCCCTATCTAACATGCATGCATACATACATACATACATACGATGGCCAATTTAGACAGGAGCCAATTACCTACCAGCATGTCTTTGGAGTGATCTATCTTCTGAGATTTGTAGTGCCTCTACAGCTTGGAGTCCAGAGGCAGAACTACCAGGGTCGCAGCTGTGACTCGGCCCTGGCACTTTACTACTGTCTTAAAATCATTAGTCGGTATTGCTTTAGAAAAACTATCACATGACAAAAAAAAAAAGCATCGGTAGTTGGTATTGTCGAGTCCTTGAGGAAAACGGTCGGAAAAAATGGCATCGGTGGAACCATAATAGGAAGAATGTTTGTTTTGCCTATTCGCACAGGACGAACGTTCCCAGAGTTTCACAGGACGGATGACTCTGCAAATTGTTTATAAATACACCCCTATGTAATTGATGATGGTTGGTGCTGCCCCAGACCCCATTCCTTCCCTGGGTGTCATTAAAATGCTGCTGGCATCATTGTATGTTTCAACACTTACCGTTTGTGCCCCGAAAGGCAATTCATGCTTCCTGATAAATAGGATGTGGCTCCTGCACAGGTGCTTTATGTTCTTGTACAATACACAAACATACAATAATCTGTACTAGACGGCACGTGTAGTATGTTACAGAAAGCATGGTCTAGTTATTGTTACACACAACTCCCTTTTTACAGGTTAATAATGTGTAGAATATGTTAAATGCAAATATAATATTATGGGAAGATTGTTGAAATGAATGGTCTGGCTTACTCCCTCTTCTAGAGATTGCAAGAAACCCTGAAATCTATTTTACAGGAATTAAAATAACTTCTTCGGGCTCCCCCTGTGCTAGGTCATATGGCCAAATATGTAGGTAATGACCATGTAATCTTAGCTGAAGGGGCTCAAGAAACTGACATGCAGGCAGACCATGGTTGCTATGCCCAAAATCTAATACTTTCCTTCCCATCACGTGATCATTGGCCAGGAAATCAGTCACATGACTTACTGCCACGGATCAGCATTTTCTTCAGAAGAAGTATTTCGGGATTTCTAGAGCTAAATATGACTAATGTGGCCCTCGCATTTGATTAACCACTCACCTTTTAATATTTGAGATGCACAAATACTATATATCCGAATTGTGAACCTAAGTTTACTGGGGTGTTGTACAATGAAAACAACCGAGCCGGACAATAAAAGCAAAGAACACACGAGCACCGTAAGACACATTTATTCACAGCAACCTTCTTACAGTTCCTCCACCGTCAGATAGTTAGAATGTTCTTTAGTACTAGTATACGTTTCATAAAGCCATAAAGCAGCAACTCTGCTCTCTCCATCTGTCAGACACGGCTTAAAGTCTCTACCCCTTCATATACCTACTTATATTAAAATCAGCCCATGTACCCTTATATATACAGCTCCAGAAATGTACTCCATAAAAATGAAAAGGCGGAATGGGCAGCCCTGAGGAGGTGACGTGGCCCGGAGTGTTGTGCTGATGTAACAGAAATCTTAGAGTAACAGTAATATGGACAGAAATGTGGTCCAGTTACTTCTCAAAGCTGTCCAGAGGGTAATGCTCCCCATACATCTTCAGATGTTTCTCCAGAGACTCTTCCTGTTTCTTTAGATGCAGAGGCATCTCAGCATAGACATCGCTGAACATGTGCTCGATTTTCGGCTTCTTTTTACGTTCAGCCTCTTCAAAAGCTTCCATCACCTACAAAAGAAAGGGCAATGCTGTCATTAGTAAAAGGGACACAAAGATGCTGAACTCTGCAGCAAAGTAGAAGTCTCCATATTCCATCGGTCCCTGGTTAGTGGCTATATATTGTTAACCTCAACAGGACAACCGCTTTGCTATGCCAGCCTTTAGTGAAATAACAACCTCCTTCTCACATTGCTTCTGCCCAATCAAGTAAACAGATGTTAAAAGAAACCCTGAAATAGTTGTCCTAAAGAAAATGCTGTTCCATGGCAGTAAGTCATGTGACCAAATTCCTGACTATTGATCATGTGGTCTGCTAAAGGGAAATGTCAGATATTGGGCACAGCTAATGCTGCCTGTGTGTCAGTTTCCTGAGCCATTTCAGCTAAGATCACATGACCAATGCCTACACATTTGACCTGCAACAGGGAGAAATGTCACCAGCACACCAAAAATCCTTTCAGGATAACAATGTGTTCATTTAATAAGAGCCATGTTAACCTCTTGCCGTCCGCCCGTAGTAAAAAAACAGACGGACGGCACTGCAGCATCTGCGGGTTGCCGTCTCCAGACGGCAATTTTTTTCTGCTCGCGCGCGCCCCCTAGCGGGCACGCACGGGCAGAAAAGACCCGTCCAATGCGAACACCCGGTACCGGGTGTTTCACATATAGGCGATCAGCGGGTCCATAGCCCGCCGATCAGAGAACATGCAAACTCTTTGCAGATAGTGTCCTGACCGGGATACGAATCGGGACCCCCAGTACTGCAAGGCAGAAGTGCCATTTACTAAGCCACTGTGCTGCCCTATGGATAAGTTTTTTTCCCTGCAAACAGGTTTCAGATTTTTTTTTTTTATATCTACACAAGGAGATGAAGGGAGCAGAATCGGTAGGAGCCCAGAGGGTGTTATTTGCTACAGATTCTCCTTTAAACCCACTACTGTGTACCAATATAGCAGACTGAAATTGTCAAAGACAGAACTCAGCTACAGCACATTTTCATGTATAGTATGTACAGGATTCCTGTGCACAGCCTCAGCAGGTGAAGATGCTTCAGGCCAACAAGAAAACATGTTGCTCCTTTTTCCTTCATCAATCTTTCATATGGACAGCCAAGTATCCTCTTCCCCTTAAAATTGCTATTTCACCCCCTCATTTATTTCCTGTCACCTATAAGTAATATTAGTTGGCTAGTAGGTTATATGTATTGGAAAACAACTGTATATAATACATAAGAGTTCGATTACATATTTAACAATATGAATTTTGCACCTGTTATATTGGTATGCAATGTATTAAGAACTTTATAATCCAGTTGCATTTAGTTTACTTATATAGCACAAGCAGCTTTATGGATATGGTCCATGGAAAAGGGGAGCAAGCACTTATCTGATCCACAGTAGTGTTACAGTCTTATTAAAAGAGGAAATTATAGTAACTTGTACATTTTTTTTGTCATGTGGCAGTTTGGCATGTTATCATAGGACAAATAATGTATTGGGTTTAAAAAAAACAAAACTCTTTGTAAGTCTGCTTGTTGAAATCTGTTTGGGTATTAGATCTAAAGATGTCCACAGACATGAACAGCTGGATGCACATGCATGACAATGACAATGTCCTCTGTTCTAACTTCTGGTAAATGCGTTGGAAGGGGAAAAACGTACCTAGACAGTATTAGCGTCCAACCCTGGGTGCAGATAGATTGCATCCACAGATTGTGTCCCTAGCTGCAGACAACCACTGGATGTGTGGGCACATGCTCATACATACTTCCAGCTGCAGACAGCCCTGGCTCCTATCAGCCTGTCATTGAGTTGTACAGGCTTGTGTGGCTGTATTCCTGGCTGCAGGTAGTTGTGGTATACTAGCCGTACCATGGCTGTTTTAAGATGTGTGAATGAGGCCTTAGAGTGCTGGTAGCACTCTTGTAAATATAGGGGGCAAACGAAGAGGTGAAAAGTTTGCATTGCCATGAGCTATTAAATATGGAGACCATCTCACCAGTTTGCGGGACTTCTTCCTCCATATTTTCTCCTGTTCGTCGTCCCACCAACCCTGGTTTAACATGTAGTGACGAAGCCGAGATATGGGGTGATCCTGTTTGTCCCAGTAGTTGACTTCATCTACTGACCGGTAAGCAGAACTGTCATCGCTGGTGCTGTGATGTCCAATCCTTCAATAACAATGGGATAAGGGTCAGCCGTTTTCCCTTAGGAGCTATCCCTCCCACATATCCAGAACTTTCCTAAATTACCTGTATGTCATAGCCTCTATAAGGAACGGCTGGTTCTCTGCTATTGCTCTGCGCCTTGCCTCTTTTATTGCATTGTACACTGCGAAGACATCATTTCCGTCCACTCGAATAGACAGGATTCCATAACCAGGTCCTCGGGCAGCTGCCATAAGAGTAAAGTTTCAGTTACACTGTTCTTAAATAAGAAAATTCAGAACAAACTAAGAGAGGAACATTGTAAACCTGGCAAGTGGCTTTAAAAAGCTGGCATTCATTCCGTGTACCTGGCTGCCCTGCTAGCTATGTACCTATGGCTGCCAGAATCCTTTTTTCTGGAAAGCTCCAAGTTCAGGTCTTGTTAAACTGCAGGCCAAGTAATGCTTGGCCTACATACATCTCACCCCACGGTAGAAGTGATTGGGTGGCTTTACATCTCCCAGATTACTTCTACTATATAGAACAGAGCCAACACTTTCATTTAAATTCAAACCCAATGCCTTAAACTTGTTTACATCCCGTTACTGCCTTCCACAATACTTACCAAAGACATATGTGAACTTTATTGAAGAGATCTGACACTTCCAGGAGTGTGGTGCTATGGTTTTATCCACAGGTCCCTATGTCACTACAGGACACAGTAGTAACAGAGGGGCCAGCAGATAAAACCACTGCATGCAGGGAAGGGTCAGGAGTCCAACACGCCAGAAAGGGTCAGATGTTGAAGATTTTTTAGGGTGGAATCTCTTTAATAAAAAGGAGATCAGCGATTCTTTTTTTTTGTTGGCTGGGGGCACGTTTGTTTACATTTGTATTCCAGTGATGGAGTTGCTTCTAAAGCAGAATTCCGGGGAAAAAAACAATTCTTAACCCTTGCAGTGTGGCTACCCCTGCACTGCAAGGATTAAGTGCTCATTTGTGTCTAGATTTAAAAATGAAAAATGACAGTCACCTAAGCCTTGGAGTTGGTCGGCTCCTAGAACAGTCCCTGGAGCCTCTCCCCACCTCCACTGCAGCGGTCTAAGGATCCTCAAGTCATCACGTTCTCTACAGTGTACAGATGTGAGGACGCTGAAGGACATACCATCACTGCAGTGTTGGAAAAGACAGGCTGGAGGGAGTGGTGTCTCACCCGTCTAGATCCGAGGTTCAGGCGAGTATAACCTTTTTTTTTTTTAAAACCTAGACACAAATGAGCACTTAACCCTTGCATCCCCACTGCAAGTGTTAAGAATTTTCCCCAGAGTTCTTCTTTAAGAGAACTGCGTTGTTTCACAGACAGCATAACAATCCACCACTTTTATTTGTGACTTGGAATGTGTGTTTTATACACAAACAGACATTGTATCAACAGAACAGCACAACAAATCATCTGATAACTGATAAAGTGAAAGAATATATTTGATATATGTGATTTTGACCCCAAGTGTACAGTGTGGTCCAAATGTAAGACTCACCAATGCCGTCCCCGCGGTACTGCTCGGAGGTAGGGGTCGATATGGCGTATCCATTATTCCTACAGAAGAAGATCACTGGACATTCCAATGTGGCAGAAAAGTTAAAAGCAGCATGAGCGTCTCCTTCACTCGCCGCACCCTCACCAAAATAGCAAATGACGACACGGTCTGAATTTTCCCGTTTCATGGCATATGCTGCACCCACAGCTATGAGAAAAGTATGGTAAAGGATTAATATCACATACATCAGGAAAGCTGGAGAAGCTAGTATGATGTGTTGTATAGGAGAATGGGAACAACAAAAATATGAGTAGGGTATTGGTGGTGGTGGGGGGTGTCTTGCATCTTCAACAAAACAAAATATACAACTGACATACATTGCTGTGCACGTTTACCAGCCAAAGAATTAGTAACTGTTCAACCAGTCTTTCTATTAACCTTCTTGGCGGAATTCCCCAGTCTAGCTCGGGATTAATTTTCAGTACCAAAAGCAGTAACCCTGAGCCACACTCGGGATTACACATCGCTTCACTTACCTTCTCCCTACGAGCCGCGCTGTGTCCTACGGCCAATGCCGGCATCCGTCTTCCGTCCCTTGCGAGCGCCCGCATCGCAGGGGGGAGGGACCATCGGGAAATTTTAAACATGTTTTACTCTGAGCCTGATGAAGGGGACCCTGCGCGGCCTGAAAGCGCTTGATGACACTTTTAGTAATGATTGACATCAATAAATGGATTTTCACTGACATTTAAGTCTGGTGCGCTGGTGACGTTCCTATACTTGATAATGCTGAATGCGGCGCCATCCGCGGTCACTGCGAGCACCCTCAACATACACTTGGGAGTTCCGGTAAGGAGTGCTACAGGTCTTTGGACTTCTGTTCCTACCATTAACACGCAGCAATGTGCAAAAAAACGCAGCTCAACATACATGGTGTGAACGGCTAGAGCTTTGTGAATTTTACCTATAATCAGATAACCACCTGCACTCTCCTACAAGCTAATGTCTTGCTGATGCCATATCTCACAACTGGCTTTCTTTGGCCCCCATCCACAGTGGTGCCGGAATGGGAAGCCTGGTGGGTGTTTATCTATAGTTTAACACACAGAATGCATGTCACAGAATGCCACTTTTGTGCACATTTTCGCTATGGTCATGCCAATCTCTGCCATATGTTTTCAATATTAAGATTTAGTTTCTCTATTGTGTGACAAAAAAAGGTATTAAAAGACAGAAAAAAAATGCATTATCAGTTGTACCGAGAAAGAGCAGAATAACCCTAAAGGTAGCTTCATTTACCTTGTGGTATCTGTGTTGCTAATGGCGAAGAGATGGTAACGAAATTCAGATCTTTACTGCCATAATGTACAGGCATCTGCCGGCCCTTGCCGGGGTCTGAGGCATTACCATAGCACTGTGCCATGAACAGATCCAGAGGATACCCCCTGTACATCAAGACTCCTAGAAAGAAAAATACAGAACAACCGGTAACATGAAGAATACATATAACCTATTTAATGCTATTGCATATTGAGGAATTGCAGTTTACCTGCCTCTCGATACTGTCCAAATACCAAGTCTGTGTCTTTAAGAGCGCCTGCGCTGCCCACATGTGTGCCCTCTTCACCGTAATTTGTCATGTAGAAGGAAATTCTTCCCTGAAAGATAAGAATATGTGATTTCACCAGTACAAATACTTCCACTGCAGGGGACACAGATAGAAGGGGGCTATGAGACATGGAGCTTGTCCCTCTCACTGCAGGGTGACACAGACAGAACAAAGCTATGAGACATGGAGTCTGTCCCTCCCAATGCAGGGCAACACAGATAGAAGGGAACTATGACACATGGAGCCTGTCCCCCTCACTGCAGGGTGCCCCCGACAGAAGGGAGCCATAAGACATGGAGTCTGTCCCTTGGGCTCCAGGGTGACCCAGACAGAAGGGAGCTATGAGACATGGAGTCTGTACATTGGGCTGCAGGGTGACATAGACAGAAGGGAGCTATGAGACATGGAGTCTGTCCTTTGGGCTGCAGGGTGACCCAGACAGAAGGGAGCTATGAGACATGGAGTCTGTACATTGGGCTGCAGGGTGACATAGACAGAAGGGAGCTATGAGATATGAAGTCTGTCCATTGGGCTGCAGGGTGACCCAGACAGAAGGGAGCTATGAGACATGGAGTCTGTCCATTGGGCTGCAGGGTGACATAGACAGAAGGGAGCTATGAGACATGGAGTCTGTCCCTTGGGCTGCAGGGTGACGCAGACAGAAGGGAGCTATGAGACATGGAGTCTGTCCATTGGGCTGCAGGGTGACATAGACAGAAGGGAGCTATGAGATATGAAGTCTGTCCCTTGGGCTGCAGGGTGACCCAGACAGAAGGGAGCTATGAGACATGGAGTCTGTACATTGGGCTGCAGGGTGACATAGACAGAAGGGAGCTATGAGACATGGTCTGTTCCTTCCCACTGCAGGGTGCCCCTGACAGAAGGGGTCCTACGAGACAGGAACTCCATTCCATCCACTGCAGGATTACTGTGAGACATGGAGTATGTCCCTCCCACTGCAAGGTGACAAGGACATAAGGCAGCTATAGGGTAGCTACAGTACGGTCTTCTCCATCCAATACAGGCTAAAGAACGACATACCTGTCTTTGAGACTCATACAGGATCCTATCCATAGTGTTGAGTAAGGTCATCGTGTGGTAGAACTTCAGTACTTTCTCCTTCGGGATCTGGAAGAAGGAATAGAAGAAAATCATTGTAACTGGTCACTTCCTAACATGTACCCCATAATAATCCGAGCCTTGTAAGCCTCCTCAGTGTATGCCATGGACAACATGAGAGAGTATACTGTCTATGCTGATGGTAAAAAAAAGAAGCTTATTACAGGGGATCTCATTACTGTACGTGTGTAAGATGTATAGGGAATTCATATATTGAGATGTCTAGTAAGCTTCTCACATCTAGACTTGTACAAGTGACAAAAATGTATCTTGATAAAAAAAAAAAAAAAAAAAAAGAGACTTGTAGTTAAATGGTTTAGGGTACAGACCATCTCCTTGTACCTTGGATCATTATCTAGTCAGTCACATACCTGAAATAAGCATGTGGCCAGTGAAGTCTGACAAATGCCTAACTCTGGTTCTGCATACTTAGTACAGGTCCGAACATGTAACAAGGATCAATACAAAAAGGATTATGGGGGGCCTAAAACCCAGAGTGTGTGATGCAAGTCTGGCAATATGCTTGTCTACTGAAGTGGACGTGACAGGTCCTCCTTAATAATGAAAAGCAATCTTGTCCCAGCACACCAAGTGGCTCATACCTGGGGGTCTTCACTGGCATTGAGAATCTGCCCCTGCCGGTCCATGACCCGATACACTGGAATCCCGGAGATGACATTGGGCTGGATAAACTCCAAAGAGTCCACAAACACAGCTGAGGCTCCGGGAAACTGCGACTTCTCCTCCAGAGATGTGAATTCGCTGAGGGAGCGAGTAGCCTGCGAGTACAATACAGAATCAGAATTCAAATTGCGCACAGGAACAACATGGCAGCTCATTTCCCCAACACAGAGGCAACCATGAAAAACTGAGGGCCATGAGTGGAAATAAAGTGTAGCTAGAGCCAAAACCTTTTTTTTTCTTATTTGAATAGAGTAGGTAGGGATTAAAACCCACGTCAGGTAATGGTGTGCCGTCTTAATTCTCTTGGGGAGATTTCCAAGATTTAAAGTGACATTAAAGTCAAAAAATGTTTTCCCTCCCCCCCATGTTAATGTCAGCACTTACCATAAATGATGTCTCTTAATCCGATCTTCTTCTTCTTTCCTGATGTTTTCATCTGTCCCTCCAGCGGTGCGGCGGGTCTCCGATCCAGCCCTGACTCCTCTGTCCTTGCTGGCACTTTCCATCCAGCGGTGTCTGCACGAGTCCATAGCCTTACCTTGCGTCTCTGCTCATCTCCCAGCCGAGAATCCGAACTGCGCATGCGCCCGCCCCACGAAGCTTTGCGGCCGCACGAACAGTTCCGGATTCTCGGCAAAGGAAGCGCGCAGCGATAACGAGGTAAGTTTAAACCGCTGTTAAAGCGTTTAAAAAAAAAAACTTGTTGCCTATCTCTACTGCTTGCTAGCAGCAGAGATAGGCAAAAAAAACCCCAAAAAACAACGGAGGCTTTAGAACCCCTTTGAATCTAGAGATTTCCCCCTGCAGTACTTTTTTCCTGCCACTAGATGTCCTCAGTCTGATATCCATTGTCATTTAACTCGCTTCCTCTGAGCCCAGGTTGTCCTGGACCTGCCCCAGCCTGAGACTGGACAGCGAAAGGAAAAGCAGCACAGTGATGAGCTGCTTCAACTTTCACTTTGCTTTCTCCTCCTATCAGCATGCTTCTACTCAGCACATTAACCGATACTGCTTCTTCCTCCCACAATTCAGCACTGCTGTACAATGGCCACAGGAGGCTGATACCAGGTCACATTCAGGTACTTACACTGCTTGTATTTAACAAATACATTTAATGATGTGTTAATATTTACAGAACTGTGTTCATTTGTGCCTTTTATATCTGCCCGGAGTTCAGCTTTAAAGGGTAAAGCTGGCCATACACTCTTCTATTATTTTCATTCAACCCGTGGGCTGAATGAAGAAAAAAGAACAGATCTTGCCATCAACGCTTACAAGCACTGATTGAGGAATCCCCACTGTTTCCTTTGTACTCCGACAGTGGCTGGCGGCCGCTCTCAGAATACACGCACAGAGTCGGCAGCTGATTGGTTGACCGCTCTGTTTGTTCAAGGATTTTCCAACCGGCTCCTTTGGTCAGCTGATCGAGGTACGTCGGCCAAACTGGTACCGACAGCAACACCCACTGTACGTATTTCAGCTGGTTCCTAAAGAACCGGCCAAAATTCAGAGTTAGGACTTACCGGTAACTCTATTTCCATTAGTCTTCCAGGACAGCATCACGAGATGGAATCTCCTCCCCCACACAACATCGCATACGGCCAGCATAATTCCCCTTTCCCAGGTGAATTTGGGAAAATGAAATTACCGTCACCAATCTGCCCCCTCTCCGCCCGACGCTGCCCTTACCTTTAACAGAACGCTGCTTCCCCCCTGCAGCTGCCATTGGACTATCCGTACTCAGCAAAACAGCCCTGCGCTGGGTATTTCAAATTCTGTTTGCACATGGTGAGCACTCATTGGTCAGCGCGGTCACCTGATCAATGAGAAACGCTGCTTATTGGTCAGCGAGGTAAGAAGCTCTTCTCATTGGTCAGCGTGCAAGTGACATTTGAAATACAGAGTGCAGGGCTGTGCACTGGCAGCCGCAGAGTGGAAGGAGCGTTCATTTAAAAGAGAACTATGAGGTGAGTGCTTTTCACTCACCTCATAGTTCTAGCCGACCTGTGACAATGAGACTGTCACAGGTCGGCTCAGTAGATCGGGAGGTGAGTGAACACATACCGGCGTTCGCTCACTTCTCGATCTTGTATAAGCAGCGACGGCGGGCGAGATGACAAGGGGCAGATTGGTGGTGGTAATTCCATTCCAAAGTGGAATTACCCTTTAATGCTACATATACTGGATTAGACTATTTACCATTGACTTGAACTGCTCTCTCCAAAGTCCTGCTTTTAAATAGAGATTTTCTTCAATGTCAATTTTAAAAGCAGGAAGGAGGGATTCAAACTATTATCGTATTTTAACATTAAATAAGAATGATTCCTGTTTCAGAGACAGCATAAAACAGAACAGAATGACTTGTATATAATATATAATGTGGTCTATGTACACTTCTCATCTCCTGGGATCCCAATATACAATAAGCAGCATTGTTCTATTAGCTGAACCAATAGCACCGGCCTCCTCTACGCCCTTGGAGTCAGCCAATCTGCTCTCACATTGCAGACGAGCCTCCTCAGGCAGTGACTGACCTTGTTGTTATCAGGAAGCTGACAGCTGTACATATACACACGATATCACCCGTTTAGATCTACGTTCTATAGAAGTTCGTGGCTCGAGCTTGTAAAGGAACAAAAGAGCATGAAAAACGCTGCACACAACTGTCACTGTCGCAGTATGATCTTGTTTTATGTCACCGACTCAGCCAAGCTATTGTATTTTCCTGGAGATGTCCTTTCCGGGTTGCCCCATTTCAGCGCTGATAGGAAAGTGGAATGAAAACTTCCTGTGGAACTCTAATCAGCCAATCACCTTGCAGATGTCACCCCTAATTGGGGGCAAAGTGCTCCCTCCCCCTCTGTGAGCCTTTCACATGAAATGTCGCTTTTTGTTATGAAAGTAGTTATAATAAAAGAAATACCCTTTGGTTTTATGAACATGTACGTGTGATATTAACCCTTGTCTGGAATGCACAGGTCTGATTTGTTGGAAGGGAGCATTAAGAATTGCTTTGCGAGACTCATACGAATGGCTGCGAGCGCGAAGCACTGTACAAAGGAATGGCAGCTGTTCGCACACAAACCTGCGTTCACACCTGAGCGACATGAAATATGCGCTTTTTCGGTCTGTTTTGTGTAGGGCGTCTTTTGCACGTGTAAAATGGCATACGGAAGTTGCGAGTTTTAATGAGCAGATTGCGGCACATTGATGTGATTGTGCGTTTTACGTGCATGAAAATATGCAAACACGCAGAAAGCGTGCGTTTTTAAGCGTTTCCATAACAGTCTATGGGGGCGAAGAAGCGTAAAATCTGCCTAAAAGAAACTCATGTACTTTCTTCAAGCGACGGGCGTTTTGCTACAAGCGACATGACGCTCAGATATGGACATGCCAAAAAAATGAATGAAGTTTTTTAAAGCTAAAAAACACTGAGTGTGAATGAGTGCTCAGTGAACGCGCAGAGATTAACCGAGGACAGGGTCGCTTTAAAGTGTATCTACATGCACATTTTTTTGTTTGTTTTAAATAAAGTGAAGAAGTGTTAAAACCTTTGGTAGTTATTTTTATTGCTGCGCGTGTCTCCACTGGGGGGGATGCTCCCTCTCTGTTTGATCTGGGGTTCTTTGTCACCAAGATCGAAAAGGACGAGAAATCCAAAATCCTACAGCTGTCACTAGAACTAGACCTGAGGGGAATCTTCCAATAAGCTCCAGTGACAACTAGGAGAGAATTTTACCTCACTTTAGGGAGATTTCCTCTAACTTGCTGGTCTGCCTATAAAACAGGAAGTTAAGGAAAAAGCTCCCCAAAGGGACACTCAAACCATCCTGGCAGAGGCTCTAACCAGTCCCTAAAAAAACAAAAACAAACAAAAAAAATTAAAGTGATATTAAAGTGACACTAAACTCAGGAGTTAAATCTTAAAACTCCAGAACACTCCAAACACTGTCCTTCCTTCTGGAGGGTGGCTACTTTTGTTCCCCATGGTCCCTGTGTGTGTTGTAAAGTAGTCACCGCTCCAAGCTCACTCCGGCGATAGACTACAATCTCATGTTTAGTTTACTAATTTGTATTGAGATTGTAGTCCATCGCCGGAGTGAGCTTGGAGCGGTGACTACTTTACATCACACAGGGACCATGGAGAATAAAAGTAGCCACCCTCCAGAAGGAAGGAGTGTCAGCGCCAATTCAGAGATGATTTGAGGATCTACAGCCGAGTGATACACAAATAACATTTCTTTTAATAGTTAATAAGGATGGGGTTGGGGGTGTTCGCAGCTCCCTGTGGAGAGCCCGCCAGGAAGCAGACAGCGTGCAGCGCCAATCACAGGCACTGAGACATTTCCGATCTCTGCAGCTGCGGACCGGGCAAATGACTCAGTACCTGTGATTGGCGCTGCTAACTGGTGGTCTCGGCACGTGGAGCTGCCAACACGCCCGAGCCCATCCTTAATAGTTAGGTGACTTGAATGTATTTGTATAATTTATCTCCTGAGTTTAGTGTCACTTTAAGGCAGAACTGCAGGCACAATGTTTCAGATGCAGTGGAACGGTTAGAGCTGTTGCCAGGTTTTATTGTTGACATTTCTGTTGTGTCACTGGGACAGGAAGTGGATGGATCCCCAGCCGTATGAGATTGCTATTGTTTTTCCTGTTGACAGGCCCAGCACGGCTCTCCCCATCTCCTCCAATGCTCTAGAGCAGTGGTCCCCAACCCCCGGGCCGCGGTACCGGACCGTGGATCAAATGGTACCGGGCCGCCCAAGGAACATTAAATTATTTCCATTTAATTTCTCTCGGGTTTGTCCGACTTTCCAGGACGAGAGGTTAACCGGGAGCTGAGAGACGTCACCTAAAGCCGCACCAATACCGCGCATGCGCAAAATATCGCGATATCGGGGCGGTTTAAGGTGACGTCTGGAGCTAAGCGGCTGCAAGCGGTAGTGGCGGTGTAGCTTTGGTAAAGAGAAGGTGTGTATCGCTCTTCTCTCTGTTCACCGGTACTTTCTCATGTTTAACAGTGCTTGGTGTACGTGTATATTGTGTTTGCTCAAATTTAACCCACAAATTAGCAAAAATTAGTACGAAACAGACGTCGTTAGAAAGTTTCCTTGGGAAAAAGAAAAGGCCCAGTGAAGAGACAGAAGAAGGGCCTTCAACATCAAAGAAACATGTAACTTTTACCAGACAATACCATGAGTCCTACTTGAAATATGGATTTATCGGGACAGGTGATTCCCACACACCAAAACCGCTCTGCATAGTTTGCGGCGACCAGCTCTCTAATGAGGCAATGAAACCTTCAAAACTGCTTCACCACTTGAACGCCAATTTTACCGCGGCCGTAAAATTATCAAACGTTGACCGGTCTGCGACGATAAAAAGGTTGGGGAGCACTGCTCTAGAGAGATACCCCGGACAACTACATCGCTCCAGAGCTGGCCCAGGAAACACCAGCAGGGCTCTTGACACTGTTCCAATGCACTTTAACATGTATCAGCACCACGGAGCTCATTCATCTACACAGGCTGCCTGGGGGCTCATTCATCTGATCTATGGGAATACAGACACTGGTCTCATATACACACACACACCTGACCTCTCCAATGACTGTGGCCAGCTTTAGTCTATGGAGCCCCCCAGCATATTCACTAATATCCCAGCCCCTGCCATACACTGACAGCCCGTTGTCTTTGTCACCCCTCCCAGCGGCTCTCCTCCTCACCTGCCTTCCCACAATCCCCCTCCATCCAGCCGGAGCCCGTATCCTCAGCAGTGCCCTCAGCGCCGCCATCTTTCCCTTAGACTGCCCTGGCTTCGCCCGCTTCCATTTCAGGACCACCCGATTCTGCTTAGGAATTTTTTCTCCGAACCCGGGATAGCACACATTGCAGCTCTCACCCCTCTGCTTACAGGGAGGGAGAATGTCACCATATCTCCGTACAGGCAGTGGAAGGGCAGCCCGGGATTAGGACCCCGGAAGTATCCGGCACGTGTTGTCAGGAGAAGGATGGAAGCGGCGGAGTCGAGTTTGCGGGAGATAGGTTGTGAGCAGAGCCTGCTGAGCCGGCCCGATGGCTCCGCCACCTTCATGCAGGGTAAAGGATTGTCTGAGGAGAAGTGACCATGTTGTCCCCAGTAACCAGATTATACCAGTGTTGTCAGGGGAGAATAAAACTCCTGACTGTCCTTATTATGAACTCTTATATGATAGAAGCTATAGTATAGGCAAATACAAGATTCAAGTAATAATGAAAGCCGGATTCAAAGTGGAACGTCAAGGGAAAATATATTTTTGAAGGACAGCAAATGATTTGTTATCTGTGATGAAGAGTATGTTATGGTTGGAGCACTGCTGGTTACTGTACAGATAACATTCATGCCGCAAATTATGCCCAGAACTCTTATTTCAGCGATGCGACTGATCGTTCTGATTCTTGTACATTGATAGGATCGCATCGTGTAGCCCCACTCTCCATTCACAAAATGCATCGTATTATGTTCACAGAGTACAAGGTGTTCTGTGAATGGAAAAGGGTAGTGGGGAAATGACCAGACCTCTTCTAGATTCCAAAAACAAAGTAACGCTTGCAGTGCCAGAGTAGCCCCACTGCAAAGGTTAAGAACATTTTTGCCCAGAGTTCTGCATCTGTGGGAAGTTTTGTAGAGCTGCAGCTAACGATTATTTTCAAAATCGATTAGTTAGCCGATTATTAAGTTCGATTAATCGGTTAATCGGATAAACAATAAAATACATTTTAAAAAATGGCTCCAGTGATGGGACTACTAGTTTGTATTGAGATTGCAGTCCATCACAGGAGCAAGCTTGGAGCGGTGGAAGTAAAAAAGAAAAAAAATAGTGTGGTGTGCAAAATAGTGAAATGGAAAGTGTAAAATTATACAGCAATGAATGCAAAATGGCACCGGCTATAGAGGACTACAAATCCCAGCTATAGTACATTATACAGCGCAATGCAGAATATAACCAACTATAGAGGAGTACAACAAATCCCAGCAATAGTACATTATAGCTGGCGGTATTCTGCATTGCGCTGTATAATGTACTGTTGCTGGGTTTTGTAGTCCTCTATAGCTAGTGGTATTCGGCATTGCACCACTGTATAATGTACTATTGCTGGGATTTGTTGTGCTCCTCTATAGCTGGTGGAATTCCGCATGGTGCTGTATAATGTATTATTGCTGGGATTTGTAGTCCTCTATACAGCGCAGTATAGCACCAGCTATAGAGGAGTACAACAAATCCCAGCAATAGTACATTATACATACAGTGTATAATGTATTGCTGGGATTTGTATTCCTATGTATAATATACAGCACAATGTACCATCAGCTATAGAGGACTACAAATCCCAGCAATACATTATAGAGCACCATGTGGGGGAAAGTGCAGGCTTACCTGAGCAGTCTTCCAGCAACTTGCTTCTGAGATCGGGTCTGTCTGTCGACGGCTGTCATCCCTCCACACCTGCTCCTCCTTACTACATCTCCCCGCGTCCCTGTGGATGTGGGCGGGCGGTGAGCGTGAGGCGGGAAGGAGGTGCGTCGTGTAAAGCGGGGATGCGGGTGGGCGGGTCTGGCAGCGACTAGTGTGATTTGGGGAGGAGGTGCGGCGCGCAGCGTGTGTGTGGAGCCGTGAACAGGGCCAACTGATCGGAAGCCGATTAATCGATTATTGAAAAAGTTGACAACTTTTTCAATAATCGATTATGTCGATTAGTTGTTGCAGCCCTAAAGTTTTGTTTACACTAATTAACCCCGTCAGTGCTGTGCTGGCAGATCAATTGTAAACTAGATTTGAACACTGTCCTAACAAGACTTAAAAGTATTGTATGTTAACTGCTTGCCGTCCGCCCACTGCAAATACACGGGCGGGCGGCGGATGCTTCCCGGCGGGTTGACGTGCCTGTACATAATTTTTTTTCTGCTCGTTCTTCTCTACAGCCGGCCAATTGCTTGTATTACACAGTACAGTGCCCCCCTCTGCTGCCGCGCTCCCCCCTCTGCTGCCGCGCTCCCCCCTCCCTCCACCACCGCTGCAGGTTATCCTGGGTTCCGCTGTCCCCCCTGCGAGCCTGGGACCGGCACATCGGCTGTCTATACTGAGAAGGAGGAGAGATCAGCATTCCCCCACCACTGATCTCTCCTCCTTTCCCTCTGTATTTCATCACTTCCACCTTTAGCTGTCATTTCTCTAGCTGCTATAGCCAGAGAAGAAGCTGGTGAAGCATTTGTTAAAACCATGACTATTCTGTAGTCTGTTGGCAGCGGACAATCTGGATGTCACCTATTATTTAATGAAATCTAGAGAGAGGTACAGAACTTGTATACACTATAATGTCATATTTAATTATTATTTATGTCTTACAGGAGACACCTCGGTTCTGGCTGGAGTGTATGGGCCAGCAGAAATTAAATTCAGCAAAGAGATGCACGATAAAGCCACCATCGACGTGATGCTTAGACCCAAAGTGGGTTTGCCTGGTCAGTACCCATTTTTGCTGAACATATCCTTTTGTTTATTTCCTGTACCCTGTTTCCCCGAAAATAAGACCTACCCCGAAAATAAGACCTAGTACTATTTTTGTGAATTGCCAAAATATAAGACCTACCCCGAAAATAAGACCTAGTTGTGACCATTCCCAGGGCCGGTGGTGGCATAAGGGAGAACCTGAAGAGCCGCGGGAGAGAATCAGCGGTGCCAACGAAGCCAGCGCTAGAGGAAGCGAGGCGGCACCTCTATAGTGCCGGCTCCTGTCACAGGCGGAGTGATACCAAATGCACTCCGCCTGTGAGGAATCCATAGTGAAAGTGCGCTTCGCTCATTCTGGCCAGCGATTGGATAGCAAATTGCTCATGGAAAGGTACGGCACCCCTGATTGCCCTGATCACCATATTTTTGTACATGAATACATGTAGACTGTTGTACATGAATAAGTGTGGATTGTACATTAAAAAAAAAAGAACTACCCCGAAAATAAGACCTAGTGTGTTTTTTTGAGCCCAAAAAAATATAAGACAGTGTCTTATTTTCGGGGAAACACGGTATCTCCCATCTCTTTCTGGCTTGCCATATACCAACGATGAACTTGCAGTGAACTGCTAAAGTAAAACATGATAAAGGCTGAAGATGCGGTTGTCTGTAATCAGTCCGGTCAAAGTGGTGTACTCCACTCTTCCCTTTTCCTGCAGTTTCATATAACGGTCTTTTAAACCCTTTGGTAATAGGAAACTATATGTACAAACACAAATAGAGTCCACAAAAGGGGCAGAGGAGCAGGAAGCTTTATTGCAAAAAGCACATACAGAAGTTAATTGCCTTGACGCATTTTGCACTGTTCCGATTAGCAAAGCTGGACATTACCTACTTGAATTTTGGATGATCTCTGCTGACTTGGCCAAAATTCCAGCTGTGTGTAGCCCTGCCAGCACCACCTGGCTTAGGAAAAGTCTATTTTCAGTCAACTTTTGTTGAGGGAGCCAGGCTGGAAATTGTTGGCAGAACAACGTTCAGGTATTGTGACAGCGAAAGGAGAGATCCGTCGATCCACGCTGGACAAAAAGGTCTGTTGAGTTTCTTTCACTTAGCCCAGGGGCTGAACAAAAGAAATGTAACAGACCCCTCTGTCAAGCGTGGATCAATGGCTCTCCCCTTCTGCTGTCAAAATACCTGAACAGGGACTGCAGCTCATTGGTTGCAGTCTCCATTGAGCAAAATATTTTCAGACCGGCTCTTTGACAAAAGTCCATTGAAAATGTAACGTTTGCTGCAGAGAGGGGGTCCTGACAGGGCCATACATTGGTTGAATTTAGGCTGAATCAGCAGTACTATGAATATGAGCAGTGTATGGCCAGCTTTAGCTACAGCAGTAGAGTGTTTTTCATGGCCTTGGTTATTATTCTTAAATCGATCCTATTTGCTATAGCAAAGTTTTCAAGGCAAGCTATACTTGTAAAAGAAGAGAGGGAACACTCAACTTTCCTGCCACCCATCACTGATGCATTTGTGATAAATCTTCTCCTGAACACTGACACGTGGAGTGTTGATCTCCTTGGTTCCCCACAGCTCTGACTGGTTCCTCCTGTTGAGCTCCATGTCACCACTGTCTCCTGTAGTGATGTGAATTTTAGCAGGAGGAATCGGTGACAGCTGCAGAGAACAAAGGAAAATTACACTAACTGAAGTGTTGGTTTCTTAGCAGATTCCAAGCGACAGTTTCTCAGGAAGGAAGCGGAGTTGGGTTGCAGGAGATATACTTGTTCCCATTCTTTTTTTACTTTTATAGTTTGACTTAAAGTGACATTAAACCCTCAGATTTTTTAACATAAACCAATACTGTAATGTGTGCCTTACTGTAATCCATGGTTCTTTCCCTTCACTTTGCTGCTCTTCCTTTTAAATCCTCATGTCTTCTCATGCTGGGCAGAACTTCCCTTTGCAGCTGACTGCCTCTTCCTGTAGTGGTGGCTCAGGTTGCAAACCTACACACAGACAACATGTATCCATTTCAGAGACAAGGCAGTCTGCTGCAAAACAGAAGTTCTGCCCAGCATGAGAACAGATACAGATTTAAAAGGAAGAGCAGCAAAGAGAAGGGAAACAACCATGGATTACAGTAAGGCACACATTACAGTATTGTTTTATGTTAAAAAATCCGAGGGTTTAATGTCACTTTAAAAACCATTAAAGTGAAGCAGACTCAACAAAATGCATCTGGTTACCTTTATTTAAGTTGGGGAAAGTCAGGCCCTAGTAACAAAGTAAATCAGAATAGGAGAGGGGCACAGATGAAGCTTTTCTGGCTAGTAATGCTAATAGCAGACATTTTGCTGTGTCTGTACTTATGCAGATCTTTTACTGCCTATTCAGGGAAGTAAAAGATCTGTCTCTTGAAATCTCACCTTTCCTTTCCGCTCTGTTGCTTTGTTTGAGCCCTCGCAAAATACCTGTTCCTCCTTGGTATGCAGTAAAGGTGACCGCCACCCAGCATGCAGTTCTTGGGTCTGAGCGGTCAAACAGGCTTGAGCAGTGTCATGAAAAGTAGAGGGTAAGCTCCGATACAGAGTTTATGCAGGGTTAGCTTTATGGTAGAGTAATAGAAAAGCAGAGGATTGCAGGGAAGGCATCGATGGGCCAGGGGTGTTGGTTTTGCAAAATGGCAGTCCCTTTAACATGTTGTCATCAGTCTTGAAATCAAACACCAGAGATGTCTGCATGGGTGATCACACACTTCATAGAGCACCTTGGATGCACGAGCTTGCCAATGTCAGATGGCATTTGAAATGGAGATCTCGTGCCTAGCTCCCGTGTCTCACTTTATGTCCATAAGTCTAACTGGAGGCTTTACTAATCAAAAGGGAGGTCCCAGTGCTCCTGATAAGTGGTTGATCAAACTTTAAACAAGAGAGAGTGCTTTAAGGGCACCGAGCTCCCTGCTTTTCTTTTCCAGTGATAATTGTATTGGGACAGAATTAAAAAAAGGATAACTTGGAACTACTCATCATCATATTAGTTTCTAATAAAAAAAAATCAGTTTGGGCCACCTCATAATGTAAATGAGGATAACATGGTATTATTCTGCCTGATAATGTTTCAAACTTTTTCTTGTGGTTTCCAATTCAGCAATACAAGAGAAGAACCAGGAGCAGTTGATTCGAGAGACATGCGAGTCTGTGATTTTAGGCACCCTGCACCCTCGAACATCGATCACCGTTGTACTACAGATTATAAATGATGCTGGTTCTGTATCCTTTACCAATGCAGGTTCTGTATGAGCCAATAGAGGGCATGCTTTCCTTGCTTGAAGCCTTATGAAGATCGCCTGCAATGTTTTCAATTACTTATTAGTTCATCTTCCCTTCTTATTCATACAATGTTTTATTCTTTTTAATGTCTCCCACAGTTGGTGAAACTTCTTCCTCTTGCTGCCATTTCCTCATTTGTCTTGATTATTTTTAGCAATTTATTGATACAGGGCAGAGAGAATGCAAAGCTATACCAGTCCCTGAGGTCATAAACATAGAGAGAATTAATCAAGAGCAGCGATGAACATATTCCGAGGTTCAGTGATCGTTAGCCTAAAATATTTTATTAGTATCTTTCTTTTTCTCATTTGCCACTCCAGCCAGAAAATGAGATCAGCCAGCAGACTGCTGATGCTGTAATTGTAGCATTACCAACATATTAAAAGCAGAAGCTATGCTTAGGTTACCTTTAAACATTTTGATTATGATTGCAGCTCCATATAGGCTGAAAGCAGAAAATGTTTGGTTGATGTTTTCTTGATACCTAGCATTTGTATTAGTTGCATCGCATGTGTATAGCAACACAGACTGCAATAAAAACTTGAGATTTTACCCTTCCCCCTCTGTGTACTAAAAAAGCTTTTGGATGAATTTAGGCTTTAATACTAAGAAAGAATAGAATAAAAATAAAACAATCTGCAGCTTCTCACCATATACATTTGAACAGAACAGCCCCCTTCTCTGAGAGCTAGAGAAGTTCTAGGGGGCATTGGAAGTCTTAAACCTTCATGTTATACTGCTGCCTACAGGAGGATTAGACATTGGCAAACAAAAATGCTGTAGGATTAGATACGTGTATAACCCCTTCTACTATCAGCATGCAATAATTTTTAATTTGGCTTTTGAACCTCATCCAGACCCTGCTGGACTGGACATTACGGGGCTAGCCTGGAAGTGATCTTTGGGCACTGGGTTCCATGTGGGGCACATCCTAGACCCAGTTATGTTTAAGTTAGCTGAGGAGTGTTGGCATTGCCAGGTCCAGAGATGTTGGCATTGCCTCTGCAATTCCCTGTCCTTGGAGACTCCTCAATTTTTATTGTTCGCCCTTTATTCTCTGTTTCCCTACAACTTTGTCGTAGAAGTGGTTAAATCTGTGGGTCAGAATATTTAAGTCATCCGCCGGGTGGAGTGTTGTGCGCTTGTGCACTTTTTTGTCATACATCCATGAGGAAACATCTCCGTGCTGCTGCTCCTGTTGTAAAGAGCCACATGTAACTTAATCTGTTCCTGCTGCCCACTTACAGTTACTTTTATCACCTCTGGCCATTCAACCCTCTGGTCACATATACTCATCAGCCACCACTTGTGACTTTCCTCCTATCCTGAGCATATATGTTGCTTATCTGCATTGCAGCTGCAACATGTCTAAATCTAGACACGGGAGGGTAACATTCCAGCTGTACCAGGTTCCTCCAGCACACTTTGCTTGAAGCATGTCTTCTGATGGTGGCGATGTCTGCAGCCTGGAGTCTTGTTATCCTCTGCTGTAGGAGTCTCTTCCCTCCTCTGAGTCCTACTTGGCTCCATTAGGTGTGGCTGGGGCCTGTGCCCTTTTGGCTTTTTACTATGGCAATGCAGGACTTCATGGCCCAAATTACACAGCTATTTGATTCAGAATGCAGGGGCCACAAGCGCACTCCAGTGCCCTCTCCTGCAGATTTGGTGTCTGACTGATCCATGCCCTTAGTGGCTTCAAAGCCATCACCACAGAAACTCGGTCTGCACCAGAATTTGGCAGTGATTTTACTCTACCGAACCATGTCTGACTGGTCAAAATCTCTCAAAGGGACCTAACTACTGCTGCCATTGTTCCTTTGCTTGAATGTGTGGAGCTGATGGCTTTCGTGTTAAGTTTCAGCTGTGATGGTTTAGTGAAAGCCTTTCATCTTATTTCTCACACGTATCTCCTGTTGGAGCATGTGTGTAGGTCACTTTGGCTTAAGTGCTGGGTTGCATAGCTATTTTGTAAGAATTGTTTGATCTTTGAGGGATCACGCTACTTTGAACTGGCTCTTGATAATATCTTCAAGGATGCTACTGGTGGCAAGAACACCTGTATTTCCTAGCAAAAGAAGCCTAGAGAGCAGATTGCAAAGTCATCTCCCTATTTGACCACTAAGAAACGTCTTTTCACTCCCTTTCATTCAGTGCTTAGGCCCTCTAAGCTTGGCTCCCCATCTACCCATAAATTCTGTCATTGCCTTCCTTCACCAAAGAGACTTTCTGGCTTCTGTGGAGATTAAAGATGCTTACCTACATGTGACCACCCTTCAAGCACCAGCGGTTTCTGTGGTTTGCTGTAGGGCCTCTACACTACTAGTTTGTGGCCAGGCCATACAGCCTATCTTTTGCACCTTCGGTATTTGCCAAGGTGCTTTCTCCAGTATTGCCCTCTCTGGTATACCCATTGTAGGATTTTTGGAAAACCTCCTGTTGAGGGAACGGTAAAGGATTTGTTTGATAAAGTGTCTGTGAGTGTCTAGATTTTAGAGGTCCAGGTGGATCCTGAATTCTCCGAAGTCGTTGCTTGAACCAACTCATCATTTGGAGGATCTTTTCCCCAATATGTCACACACATGTTTATTCCCCAGGAGGAGCCTTAGATCCTCTGGTCATCTTTAGTCAAAACTCTCCGCTTTAGCCTTGATGTGTGTTGTGTTGACTACCCTGCGTTTCAGATTTCCAGAACCCATCTTGTTATACCATTTTCAAACCCTTTTCCACTGCTTGCAATCCTTCTCTACTGCATGCAAATGTTTCAGCTTTTTTGATGATCAGATGACACACATATTGCAGCCAGGAAATTAGACTGACATCCACCTCGTGTGTGCTGCAGGACCTCAGCTTTGCCCAGCTTATTACTCAATCTTCTGAGTAAGCATTTCTGTGTTAAGAGCATTAAGACTGTCTGTGAAAAACTGCTGATAAATGCCTCTTTATTCTAATGGACCCTCCAACGTTTTGATTGTACAGATTTTCCTTGTTTGAATTTCATTATCAGGACCTGTATTGCAATTGCTATTTCTGGGGTCGTAAATCTGAAAGCAACCAGAGTCATTATGTATATTATTGCCACCCTGGCATTGTCATTTGTAAAATGCAGTCTGACTTTCATCGGAGGTCTCTGTATCTGCAAAAGATGTTATAGAAATTTCCAGTTTGCTCTATTACACAGTCACTTGCGCACACTAAACACTGTTTTATTACAAATAAATGTAATCTCCTTCAGTGGTGTATACAGTAATCAAAAATAAGACGGGAAGTATGTAATCATAGTACATTATCATTGAAACAGTTTGATAAGATTTTTTTTTTTGTCATTTACATACTGGCAAGAATGCGAAGAAAGGCTGCCAAGTGGGGAACCATAATGGAAATGTACTAAGAGAAATATGTAGACTGCCATTGCTAACCTCCTTCTCAAAATACTAGTTACCTGGCTCTCTTTGGCTGAGGTACTTTAGGCCATGGACTCTTAATAGATATGCAGATGTTGCACTCAAGAGGTCTGTTCTGCATTCTCCTTTAAGTCACATTACTGGTTCTTTGCCAGAGTTGGTTACTGTATCCTGGATTTGATGGATGTTTGCTGATTCAATGATTCTGGTGAAATAAAACAATTTAGAAGCCCCGTCTTCTAGACTTATGCTTATGAGACATGGATAGGGTTGTTTCCCTGTAATTTGTCACAAATTAGCAAGTTAATTAACACCATAGAGGTAGCGCGAGAAATTAGGATGTCGTGAACTCCTTAATGGGAGACGTCTGTGCAGCAGTAAACATGCTTAAAATAGGACTGGGAAGAGACTTGTCCGAATTCTTATTTTATTCAGGTAATTAGTTTGAATGTCATTCCCATCATTCTTACTGGCCTTTGTGCCTCTGGCATTCACACTTCCTCCCAGAGTGCTGATTCGACATATATTGGTTTTCGATATCTTGGTAATGAAATATAGTATTGCTGTAACTTGTAGACACTAGATTACACATTGGCTGTCTGTAAAAGGGCAGGTTACTCACTAAGGCCCCATTCAATCTTGTACTTAGGGCTGTAATGCACATTGCAGCTAAAGAAATCAGAGAATTCCTGCAATCAGAATGAGAGGTGTTTGCGAATAACTGCGGCCAGGAAGCCTGCACAAAGCGATGACAGGCTGGTGGCACCCGCAGGTGTCTGTGGATGTTCCACTGATTTACCTGCAGTTAGGGACAGATGATCGTCCCTGGATGTAGACAGATTGTGTCTAGGGATGAACATTTGTCCTAACCACAGCTAATAGCTGGATGTACGAACATTGTTTTGTATAGGTTCAGCAGCTGTAGCTATTCACAAATCGTGTTGAGATTGAAATATTAAGCCCTGCTCACACAGATTTTTTTCCCCTGCAAGCTATTAATTTCCATCTGCAATACCAGGTCTCTCTGATGGCTCGAAGCTCCCATCATTATTCCCTATGCTGGAAGAATTGCTTGTCGATAGCCAGGCTTTGTCTCTCTTAACTTCTAGACCCCTGGATTGCACACCATGTCCCATGTCCTTTGACATATTCCACCTCAGTGACATCCCATACCAATAGGGCCTTGACCTTCCAGGACCTCCTGTCCTCCCACTCTTCATTCACCCTCCTACCTTATCCAGACTTTTCCAAATGACACCGCCATTTGAACTCGAAATGTGAAAGCTTACACCTATGGTACTTAACTAAGCCCAGAAGAGGTCTGGACTCTATACCTGAAAAGCAAACACGACTTTGCATAAACCTACGTCCCTTATTAGCCTTATATGTTAGCCAAGACCCAGAACTCACTTATTTTACCTGAACACTGTGGGCTTTCCATTGTGATGCATATCTTCAGGCTACAGGCTGGAGTTTATCGGTAGTTGGCCCTTTTGGTTGCATTGCACTGTACTGTTTAAATCTGTATAATTGCATTGTCTTGTTCTTTCCAAAAATGTATTTAATTAAAAACCTTTTGAAATGGAAAAATATTGTAATGCATGCGGCTTCTCAAACTCTGATGTCAGTTTATGCCTGTTCGATTAGGAGCCTTAACTCTTAACCCTTCCCAGTTACTTGCCTGCTGCCTTAATGCGGCCTGCATGGGTTTGATGGATGCAGGGCTCCCTACGCGGGCTCTCTTCTGTGGAGTCACATGTGCACTGGATGCCGATGGTCAGTTAATCCTCGACCCCAATCTGAAGCAGCAAAAGGTCAGTCTATAAACCATTTCTGTGAAAATGCTTAATGCCTCTGCGCTATGTGTAACATTTGCATAGTTAGGTTGAAAAAAAGACACAAGTCCATCGACTTTTTTTTCATGGATAACGATGATCCCAAAATTAGAAGCACCTGAAGAAATGGAATAAAAGGTCCGTGTTGCATGTTTGTTTTTTAAATGTATTTTGCGCCTACTGAGATAGAGGTGCCTGATTGCCATGACATGTATTGGTGCCCAAGCCATGTTGTCCCTTTGAACAATGAGAGAAGTTGGTTGTGAACGACACAGCTATGACCGTAGACAAGCTGTATCTGCTCTTTTTGCCAGGCTTTTTTTTTTAATTAATCTCTTGTGCAGTGTCTCTGTATAACGGCTTTTCAGTTTCTAGACCCTGCTCTCTGATGGTGCCATCAGTGTAATCCATTAATTGGAAGCACAGATAGGGTAGAAGAGATGGTGCTTAGGCACTGTTACATTTAAGGACGTTTTCTACTGCTCCTAATCAAGTATTCTATGCTAAAGGTCTTTTATTTATGTTTTTTGTTTTGTTTTATAATAATTATGCTAATAAGTCCATGTTAGACAACAAAATTTTTTATGTTAAGTAGGGATGCACCGATACAGGTTTTCCGGTATCGAGTACGTGTACCGATATTTTTTTTATCGGTACTGGCTGATGCAGAATACTGATACCGGAATTCCCATTAAGGAAGCTGGGCGGTGAGTCATTACATGCCATCATTAAACGGCAGCATGAAGCCAGCCGACCAATCAGGAAGCCGGGTGGTGAATCATTACACACCGCCCGGCTTTCTAATTGGCCGGGAAGCCGGCTCATGCTGCTGTGTAATGCTGGCATGTAGTGACTCACCCCCTGGCTTCCTGATACCAGAAGTTCCGGTATCGGGATAAGCATTTGGGCGAGTATGAGTACTCGCCCAAATATTCGGTATCGGCGCATCCCGAATTTTAAGCATTTATCAATTTTAACTGTTTTGTTCAGTTTGTGCTTGTTGTGCAGTTGGCCATTGCTCTCATCTGCTTTGATGCCATCCATGGGCTGTTTTTTTTGTTTTGGGTTTTTTTGTGTGTGAGGACTGCACCATACAAGGCAGGTCATTTGGAGGGCTTTTAAAAGTGGGAAGAGCTTATCGCACACAAACATTTTACATTTTGTCTGAAAATTAAGGCAAGATGGGGCCAATCTATTCCCTCTTTTTTACCACCCATGCACCACTCCTTCCTATTTTTAGAGTTGTAGTGCCAGAGGTTTTAATGAGCAGTTTTCCATCTGCTAGTTTTTGACCACCATTAGATGTTAGGGCTACTGGAAACCTTCTTTGAAGGTGTTTTCAGTTTGTATTTGTCAGGCTACAAAGCACAGATAAACTCCCAAGACATAGAATAAAGGCACTATTAATGTTTTTTAACTGGAATTTTTCTCTACTTTATATATCTTTCTGCTAAAATTATGTATATGTCAAAAGATATATCTTATATCTTATGTATATGTCAAAAGATACCCTCTTGGCTAAAGTCCATCTTGTTAAAGTGGACCCCCTTTGAGTTACATTTTTGTTTTCTACTTCCTGGTCCTCTTTGGCACAAATGATGTATTCGTGCCCAATAGTTGCACCCTGGGATGGTTGTATCAGCAGAGCATTGCTGGGAAATCTCATCTGTAATCTCACAGGATCTCAGGGAAAGGCATTTTCCTCCCCTGAGATGATGGTCATGGTCACACGTCCTAGTCACATGTGCCAGAGTTTCAGAAACTATTGTGCCCTCCGTATAAAATGGCCACTGTGAGAAGAATGGGGAAGAAAAAAAGGTATGCAAAGAATACAAATCCTGCAAGTATCTATCAGTATGTGTTTGTAGATTCCATTACTAAGCATTTCTAAAGGTGTGTTTGTTGTTATTTTGAAGATATGGGTAAAGTTCCTCCTTAAGGTGGGAGTATAACAAAAGGATGAACTCCCTTTTCCTGGACTGATGTTGCTTGTCTGTCTTATTGACGCACAATTCCATGATAATTCTTGGCTCATCTTAACCCCTTCGTGACTGACGACGTACAGTGTACGTCGCCAGCATCGGGGCTGTTTAAACGGACTCCCGGTGACTTTTGCCGCCGGGACTCTGTTTAAACTTGTAGAGCCGACTGTCGGCTTTACAACAGAAGCGATCCTGGCGACTTACCTGTCGCCAGATCGCTTCTGCGTCCCGAAGAAGAGCAAAGTTTTGATCTCTCTTCGATTTATGCTTCTGGGTGTACAGCCATTATTAGAGAAAAACATCAAGCTGTGCTGAGACTACATTTTCTAAAGTGCTGCTAGCATGAATGACACTTATAGGTGCACATGCCTGTTGTTGCATGGTGCTCCCAGTGCTTCTTAATGCATATATCAACTTCATACTATACAAATAATGAGGGCATATGGCAAGCTCGGGGGGTCAAAACAGCTCAGAATACAGTTGGTAATTTACACAAGAATAAATATTTTCCTGCCGCTCTTTGTCTAAGGCTTATAAAACTCCCAACACGACAATATAGCAATACAGCCCTCTCAGTAGCGGAGATACCTAAGACAAAGAGACACGTTCATAATGAAAAAAAACATCACCTTTTAATTATATAGGTGTATTACGACATACATCCACAATCAGTGGCGTAACAATCACCATAGCGACCCAGGCGGTCGCTATGGGGCCCGGGGCACAGTGGGGCCCGGCCAGATGCCGTGCGGGTCGCTATGGGATCTTTCACTGGCGTCTGAAGACTAACACACCGCTGTTCAGATCATCTGTGCAGCGGCGCGTTCGTCTCCACAGTCAATGAGAGCCAGCAGCAGCGGTGGGGAGCAGGCTGGACCCGGTGTTCGATCAACGTCGCGAGCCTCTGACGTCACCGGCAGTGGAGGAGGAGGCGGGCCCGTGCTCGGCAGCAGGGGAGGAGGCGGCCTCGGTGAC